GACTATTGGACATGAAGCACAGACATCAAATTAACAATAAATTACTTTGACTTGACCATAAACATATTTTCCTTTCCATACATGAAAGACCAATTTATAAACCTGGGGCTGATACATAAATGATAAAAAAGGAACTCAATTAATACATACTTTTTCACTCCACAGGTATAAAAGTTAGTACATACGATGCATGAATGATTACACAAAGAAAGGCTATAGATATGTCACAAAGATTCATATACATCATACTTGTGCAACATTTTAAGTATGTTGACCACAAAAAAATTGAGCATTCATACTTCATAACGACAAAATGTCTATACACAAGCTTTATATCATTCAAATGTAAACAATAATGGTGAAGCTATAAATAAATACAGCAATGCTGATTCATTGTTGCTCAATCTAATGCATTCTGGGTAATATTTTGAAAACCTTTCTCCAAACTTTGTGATTGGTTAACAAGACCTTAACAATAGATATCTGATGAATGCTGTAACATTATTTTTATTTTAGAATTTAGACTTCTGAAACTGTGAATTTTATATTCTTTACTATTGGAACATAAAACAATAGAACTTGTGGAATGATTAATATCATCAAGGAACAAAAATAATATGGATTAAGGGTGTATATATTTGTTCGCTACTGGGAACAAGAACTATGTATTCCTTTTATGTTAAATATGTTAAAAATATTTTACATTGTGAAAATACTGTGAAAAAAACAAACTTTTTACTGTAAAAAGTGATGTTTCCGTAATGAGATTTAATTTACCCCAGTATTATGTGATTTATTAGAAAAATTTATTTGACCACATATGTTATGTTTACAATATAAAGCAAACTGAAAGTTTTTTTTATCTCTATATAATTATATCACACAGGTAAAACAAACTTCTTGCATTAAATTCCCATGCTGTTTTTACTTTTTTTCAAAAAAGAATGATTTTAACTGAGTATTCACTTATTCATCTAAATGCATTTTTGCAGAGCAAACCAAGAAACCTTATTCACATTTTCTTAAATAAAGTCCAATAATATTTTATATCAACTGACACAATGATAATTTTTACAGCCTCCTGTTTTAGCATATATGATGGTATTATTCAGCAAGATTTGAGAAGTTGTCTACAAAAATCTTTAAGTTTTTTGTGTTAGCACTATAAAGTTATTTTATATTGAAAAGTTAGTAAAAACTTTGAGAAAAATACAAAATAGTCAAATAAAAGCAAATTTCTATACATAAAGTAAATACATGTTTGAAGCACCCTGAGAAGGCTATCACAAAATGCAAAATGAAATATACAACAAAAAAAACAACATTGGCAAGCTTTGATTCTTTTCACAGTATTTGAACTCTGAACACAAAATTACTATACATATATTTAAGGTAGATCTTCCCTTCAAATTCAACAATGCCTGCCGGAGCTGTTGATGTTGTCAAGGGATTTGGTTGTACACTTCTTTTTTTTTTGATACCAGCTAATTCTCTGTTCTTTAAATAAATATTAACACAAACACTATTTGTCAAAAGTTTGGAAAGTCAAAGATATAAAAATACTGCGGATATAATTTTCTTTGTCAGTACCAATTTTCAAGGATTGAAGAAAAACTATTGTCATGGATATTTGATATTGTGGTCGTGATAAATTTTACCTACCGGTACACAGCTATAGCAAATCTTGTATTTTTAAAAAAATTAATTAGTATCAAACAAACAATAGTGAATCCAAAAGTACACACAGAACAATTCTCAAAACGGGATACAAAGAAGTTGAAAACTGTCTAAGATAAGTTGCCATTAAAAGATCAGCAGCCACTGATCAATTAAACAATCATACATTCATAGCTTTATCTTTAGGTAAAAGAGAAAATCCACTATAATCATAAAACATGTAGCATCAGAAAATGTTCAACATGTAATCTTTGCTCGTAAAAAAAAAAAAAAGCAATCAATATCATTATCCACAATACAATGCCCAACAGATAAAAACTCAGATAATAGTTAAATATTAGCAATGAAATTTGCATGCATGTTATTATTTGTTCTTTAAAACAAAATGTTAAAATAAAAAATTTTAAGGCACACAACTGAGGACCATAAAAATTACAATCCATCATAGATATGAATAAAGTAAGATGGAAGTAATTGTCAATAAGAATACCAAACTGAAACAAGTCTTTACATAATTTGAGTAAAATTCAAAGAGACAACCTATTTTCAAATGAATGAGTGTTTAACTGCTAGTGGTGGCAAATATAACATGCATATCTCTATAGCTTAGAAAATGTTCATGCAATAGGATTATGTACTAGACCAACACACTAAGCTGATTTTTATCTTGATACATGTAATTCACACATTAGCAGTATACAGGAATAATGTCATCCTACTAGGGTAAATTTCTGACTCTGAGCCAACCAGTCTTTGTTTTTACTCCTAAATACTGAATGCTTAACTGAAAAGCAGCAAATACCTCTTTTCAAGTCTTTGGAGTGACTCACTTGTGGATCTTATCCATGACCTCCTGCACTTGGACAAGCATGCTATCATGAAGCAGTTACCTTCAGATCAGACATCAACAACAGATTCATAATAAGATGAAAAGATTAACAGCAACCACTGACAAAATTTCAAACTTGGGACAGGCAACTAAGCAATTGACTCGGTTAATCTATTAGTCTTAGTAATAACTGGTTGTAACTCCTACGATCAGAAATATTATATATAAAGGATTCCATCTTGTATTGCTTGGCTGTCAAATAAAAATTTTAAATATATCATAGCTAAAAATTTCTTTTTTAATACATAACTTTCTGAATTAAAATAAAATCTGCTAAGGTCAAATAAGCCTTCCTACTTTTTGTGTTCAGAGCAAAGCAATAAACCAGATGCTGGCTTCAGTTCATGACATAGACTTAAATGCAGTAGGTAAAAAATGCATACATTCAATCTGAACAAAGCACTGGTGACTATATATTGAAAGGTTTGATATATATGTATGTCTGAAATATTTGCATATATGAAAAAAAAAACTATTGCATTATTTTAAGTAAATTATTTATCTTTGTGTTAGTCGATTCCCTTTTGTAGTTTTTTTGTAAATATTTCTTCCCTTTTTCTCTTATATCTATACATAAATACACTTAAAAACCTCATTCATGTTAATTAGGCATACACATTCATAACGTTTATGTTACACAAAGAATAAATATATGACAATATTCAGTATGTACAAATAAGCATAATATCACAATCAACTGAATTCTTCTTTTGACACCTCAGGAATACAAACTATTCCAAATATTACCCTTCAAAATCAATTTCCTATATTTCCTCTTTTTTTAAGTTCAAGTCTTATGTTTAAATTAGATATTTAAATTTTTTTCTGATCTTGGCCAAAAATAGCCCTTCAACCTATCCTCCCCCCCATCATCAAATCATACCTGGTACTGGGAAAGTTAAAATTCAAATATGCCATTTTAAAAAATTTCAAAACTGATAGTGGTTGCCATTTTTCTTTGTCCTATGACCTTCAAAACAGTTACTTCATGATATTTATTTTACTGAATCAGTGTAAGAACTTACTTTGATAAATTTAAACGAAACATGGTTGACAAAGGAATGGTAAAATCAATGGTTATAAGATAAACAAGCACCTAAAACTATAGTTTAACAAGATAAAATGACATGGATGGTCTGAAATCACAGTCACTCACAAATACTGACATTAGTATTGAGCACAATTTCTGTGTGAAAGGAAATATAGTAAAAGTTAAAAACTTTTGTAGAAGTTATATTTCATCAAATGATAAAAAAGGCTAAAATTTATATTGACCAATGACAAAGTTAATTACCCTCCCCTTTTTATAATTGAAAAAATTAGATATGTCTTTCTTGTACATAGCATTTTTAAAAATTACAAATGTTCTTTTGCCAAACCCACAAAATACAGAATGGCGGTAATAAATGATAAATTTCTAAAAGCTCAATATAAAATTTAATAATCACTTCATCGTTGTAAGATATATAAGATGTACCGCAACTGCAGACACACAAAACATTTTTTTTTTAACTTTTGTATCATGTTAGTTGTTCAACGAACATATTCTGTTGAAATATTTTCTCTTTTAATAGTGATTGTATCCCATATATAAACCTGAAAATAATTGCGTATTTTGAAAATCTCATTAATAAAGAAATTTTCTTCACTCAATTCACATACTCACACAGAAATACTTTAAAGAGATCATTGAATAAGATGATTATGGGAAAATGATTTATTCTTGTTGCATGAAGTAGGTTTGATAAGGCCCAAAAAGTCCCTTTTTCTAGCTGAATTTTCAAATAAGGATTTAATGGCCATTATCGTAATAAATCATAGCTAAAACAATGACTAGATAGAAAATATGTCTATTTTGAAAATTTATGTATCAGTGTTCTTTTTATGATGTCACAATTTGCATCAATTTCAAGTTTTAAAATAAAATTCAGCTTAAAAATAATAGACATCTTATACCACTATTTAAAATTTAGTGATTTTAACAATCAAAGTAAAATATAACTCTTAGCACTTTAAAAAAAATAAAATATATTTTTCAATAACAATAGAATTTAATAATGCTTAAAACTAGTAACATTAATGATACGCTTGTATGCAAGCACATGTATAATATTTGCTTAATGTGTTCATGCAAAGGAAACTATTTTTTATCTCCTTTGATTTAAAAATAAATTTAATTTGAAAATAAAAAAAACATTATAAATCTTTCCAATATTTAAAATATACAAGTATATCAGATTTCAGTAATTATTCTTAACCATGTCTTGCAAATTTCCTTTTTAGATCTTTTAAACTAATTTCATATAGGCAAAAAACCTGCAAAGCCTTCCACATTTGCATCATTTTTCCATCTTCTATTTATTGTTCAGATATTTTACCAAAAAATGTCTTATTCAAAGATATTGAGGCTACTGATGTTGTCAATTATGACATGTTTTTGCCTTCACATTGAAAAAACAAAAGTAACAAATGATATTTCTACACTATGGTTGCCTGAATATAGGATCAAAATAATGGCTCCTAATAGGTTTTCTTTTGATCTAGAACATTTCAAAACAAAATAAAACACAATGTATTTAACACTCAGTTGTTTTTAAAAGTCTGATACAAAGACCAGACCATCTGTATTTGTAGATTTGGTTTAATATACAAAATAAGGTTAATATTTATGAAACAATCACTCTACCTCAATTATTTATGGAGAAAAACATTGCAACAAATACATAATAAATGTTATGGACAGAAGTACAATATTGCTACAGTTTAATTAAGGTAAATGAAATATCATTGAACATTGGACTTAATTCTGTAGGCAGGTTCATATAGCAATGGTACACTGATCAGTATGAAAATAATTCCATTCATACAGGTACATACAGCAATGGTACACTGATCAGTATGAAAATAATTCCATTCATACAGGTACATACAGCAATGGTACACTGATCAGTATGAAAATAATTCCATTCAGACAGGAACATATAGCAATGGTACACTGATCAGTATGAAAATAATTTCATTCAGACATAACAAATCACACACAGACACACCATTTTTTTAAATCTGCTTCTAAAATCGATATCTAAAACATTTAATGATGAGAAATGTGGAGTTTTTTTCATTTTGCCTAGGCCATCCCTGCCGTTTAAACTGGTCCACTGGTTTTTTTCATAATTTGAGCTTCAATTGGAATTCTTCAGTCAGTGATGTATTTCTGTCTCCTCTTCTGTAGTCATGGCAACAAATAAATAACAGTAATGATTGGTACATTAGTTAATTCAAATACTTTAATTCATTCAGATTGGACCAGTAATTACACTAAGTTCCAATGATATTTATCTCTGATAGGTCAGTTCATTAGCCAATCACTATTGTTGTTGCTGTTGGTTTGCATCTGTGTGATCAACTGAGAAAGTTTAAGCCAATCAAACTAGACATGAGATCAAGATACACTAGATTTAGGTCTATATAAAGTTACTGATGCTATATGTTGGTTCTGCATTACCTGAAATATAATATCAAAAAAATACATTCATTATAATTAAGTGCCAGTCTTTGTAAGAATCAGGCAATTTAGAAAAAATTCAAAGCATGGCCGAAAAAATTCCACCGACCTAACCATCCTATTTTGAAGTTATCCTCATCCTGAGTTAGGTTGTTTCTGCGTGTCTGGTAATTCGAGAAATCGAATTGGTCTGGTCTTGTTACTTTTGGTTAGAATGATAGCAAATTACAGAGTTAGCTCCCCATAATTGTTAATTTCTAGTGCATTTCAACCAAATAATATCTTGAATTACTAGAACAGGAAAAGGAAACGAATGTTATATTTGTGCACCGTTATACAATTTGACCAAAAATTAATGTCAACTTGAGTGGGTTTCTGTTTGTCATGTTTTCACCTTTTTTAGGCAGATTGGCACTTAAAACATGCTCAGAATTAAAACAAAATAGAAAAAGATCTCCATAATCATGTCTACCATACAATCTTTCTGTACACAGAATATACTTGATCTATGAGAAATTGACCTAATCATGAAAATTCAACATTGCCCAATAAACCCTCAAAAACTGAAAAAGGTGAACCCTGTCTGATGAACATGAATGGATACCTTGCAATAATTCTACAAACAAATATATAGTTGTTCTATTCCTCATAATAACTGAAAAAATTACATGATGAAAAACTAATTTTTTAAAAGGGTCATTGAAACAAGAGAATAGGGTCAAAGGCAAAGGACATATACTAGACAGAAACTTCAAACTATAATGCAACTGTATACCAGATATGAATTATCCAGTTCTTTCACCATCTGAAAAAATAAAGCTTAATACATATTGCCCTTGGATTAGCATCCCTATGTCTTACTTTCTGCAACCTTTGTTGCAGACGACACAAAAACTTAAATCCACAGCTGATTAATAACATCAATGGTACCAATTTTAATGCACCAGATCAGCAGAAATCTATTTTGACAAAAATGTCTCATCAGTGATGCCTAAGGCCAAAATTTGAAAGTCTAAACTTAATACAAACATTGAATAGCTAATTAAACCAATAGGATTAGAGTATGCTTTACCTCAAATATAAGATCCTGTACGCCATAACAGAATGTAGATCCAAAGGGATTACTAGTATTTGTAGATGCTGATCTATTTAATATCACTGGCTGTTGGTCTGGTCTTATTAAGTAATTCTGAACAGAATCCCACTGAAATAAATTATTTGAGTGTATGTATATTAGAAAAATTAAATAGCTTTCTTCACAAAATTAATTGGTAATTAGCTTTATGTCTTAAGCAGTGTTTCAAATACTGTCAAAGCAGAAATTATTATGTGCATTTATTATTTCAATTTTTGAAGATTGGATAAAAATGAGTGATAAATTAATGCGATTTCAGGAAAATCTGCATACAGATATATGAGTTAGCTACGGAATGTTAGTTCTTATTATTGTGATACTCACCCAGTCACATAATTCAGTGTTATAAAAAGCTAATGATAATTTCTGAATTAACAAATAGAAAGGATTCATCAAATTCAATAAAAAATGCATCCTTTGTACACAGTGCTTCACTGACAACTTTTACAAAGAAGGATAAGAACAATACCAGCGTTATGTCAAATTGTAATATACAACTGTGACCAATGAACTGTGAAATTAAAATTAAACCCTCCCATCTTATACAAGTTTTTTTTTATGTCACTGTAATGTTTCATATCTTGAAGTTTTAATTGATGAAGTTCCATGCTCCACATTTCCCTTATACTCATTTCCTTTCACAAAATTCTTCAACAACACCTTAGCAGTGAATAATCATCCATGAAATTGAGGTCAAAGAATCATTTTGACTTAATTTTTAGTTAGTAACATCTTATTGCGAACCAAATGTAACTCTTCCACAGAGTCATCTCCTCTTGGTCAAGGTATTTAAATTTTTGTCAGTTCAATTGACCTATTGAATAGCTATTGTTCTCTCTGTGTTTATTCACTTCTTAGAGAAATCCATCACTCATTAATTTACCTGATGCAAAAATTATCTTCTAAGCAGATGAAAATTCATGTTATCAACTCACAAAACTGTATATGATGTTGTATTTATTCAATATCAATAATATATTTTCAATCTGTTCAATATACACACTGATTTCATCATTAAAAGTTGATTTAGCATGGTTCCTATTGAAATTTTGTGTGTTTGTTTAGTTATAGAATACATTTTTAAAAAGCCTTAATTTGAACATCATCATTTTCCATTTTTTATTTGTCAAACACAAAAAAACAAATTTCAATACATGTCTTATTGGTATAAGCTGTGAAATTCTTAATATTGGGTTTCATTTTTCAAGGTTCATAAAAAAAATTATTAGTTCATGAATTTTTTTTTGTTCCTGGTTTCAGATTTTCGATGTTACAAATTCATAGAAAATATTCAAATTGTTCTGTCACAAACTTGCTGTATTTGTTCTTGATTGACCTTGAACATAAGTACATTACAACAAGTACTTTTATATAAGCTGTACATGTAACAATATTTGTAGCTTACTTTAGAATAAGCTGTAATAACCCTAACTTCTTCATCATCACTTTCTCCTGTCTGTATCAGTTTTGGTTTGGTGTTCTCTACCATCACAGGAATCTTACACTCACATCTATAGTACCTACAAACAGGTATATACTGTGTGTACACACATATTCATTTTAAAATACATAACCAAAGAAAACATATTTGCTAGAATATTTTCTAATACTTGTTAAAGTTTAATTAAAGATCATCCAAGTTCAAAATCTACTTTGCATAAAGTAATGTCTATTGACGGAAAATAATGTTGATTTTGCAAAAACATATAAAATTGAAACTTACATATTAAAATTATAATGGCCCGGGAAATTAGTGTGTAGAATAAACTTCTTTACTTGATGTGTATTGGCATCCAAAAGAATGTCCTGAAATAAAATGTATCTAGATTATTTTGTTTATTGAGATATTTATAGTATATATTTAAAGCAGTCTATCCATTTTTGTTTGTGCGAAAATTACTACGAGTTATCATCCATTTAAAATTTTAGATTCACATAAATGCATTTGTTATCTTTCATAAAAAGTTGGAAAAATCAGTCCAAATACCATTATCCAACCCTGGGTTTAGACCTCAGGTTATATGACTGTCTTTGGATGATATCCAGACTGATATATGGAAAATGGTGTGTAACAATCTATTTTTAATACACCTATTTTTCTAAATACTTAATTTTACACATTATTACATTTTCTGCAATAAATGTTTATAGTTCAGTTTCAAATTTACTACTCAGTGGAATTTTTTGTCATGCTTGCCATTTCTTTTTTTTTATCATTATGATTTTAAAATACCGGTACACAAAATTCTTGTGTGTGTGTTGTTTTTTTTTATAAACAATATGTGCAATATAAAGGGTGAATGGCAGGTCTGGTCCTAAATATGTGAATGGCAGCATATCAGATGGTGAGCATTTAATTCAAATATTGATTGCACACTAGTCCTGCATATTTCTGAATATATTTCCATCTAAAACATCAATCACTAGCAGAAGTAAAGGAGTAGTCCCAAAGGATTGAAATTGGCTCTCAGATTTACATTATTTTCAAATTTCTGGTCAAAATACTTCAAATTTTACATAGAAAAAACTGTGATATCACTATGAATACAAAATAATTTCTTTGTGGCACATAAATTAAATTTTTCAACAAGCATTCTGAGAGTATTGCATGGCAATACATAGTCCCCTACCGGGTAAAAATTCATTATACTGGAACAAAAAGCTAACTTGTTCTATAACTTGTCATGGTGTAAACAAAAAGAAAATATCAAGTCAATATCTTCAAGCATGACTAAAAACAGTGTGGAAAACTGATTACTGTGGATTCATTTATTTTAGTGGGTACCAATTTTCGTGGATTAAGGAAAACTTGCATATTCGTGGATATCTAATTTCGTGGTTTTGCTGAAGTCTGCATACAAACTTACAGAAAATGTGTCATTCGTTGAACATTAAATTTCGTGGTTCACCAATACCACCGAAATCCACGAAATTTGGTATCCAACGAATAATAATGAATCCACAGTAAATGAGTGAATTTTTCAAGTCCAAGGACCATAACTCTGCACAAAATTATCAGACCGAAACAAAATTTCAAACTTGATCTGTATAACTTGTCATGATAAAACTATATACCAATTATCAATCAAGATCTTCAAGCATGATGAAAAAAAGTGTGGAAAACACTTTAACATTAGATATGATTAATAGTTCTCTAAAATTAGATATGATGTAATACAGAGTATATCTATTTTCAAATTATAATCAAATATAATTAATAGTTCCAAATATTTTTTCTTTTATTTGTCACAAACTAATATAGATTTGTAACTTATCTATAAAATGTCAACAATTTTTATCTACACAATGTAATGTAATATATACATTAATAAAAATAGATTATTATCTAATTAAAGGATTTCACTTCATAATTTTTTTTATATGTATATAGCATTCAGAAAATTAGTTTATACAAAATAACAAACAAACCTGCCAAAAAATTCTTTAAATAATTTACCAAAGAATGTCTTTTAAAAATGAGTTATCTCCCTTTGTACAGAAATATGGTTTAACATAGTACTCTAACATTAGATATGGTCCACAACTCTGGACTAAATCATCAGACCAGAACAAAATTCGAACTTGATCTATAACTTGTCATGGCAAAACTATATACCAAATATCAAATCAATATCTTCAAGAACGAAGAAAAAAGGTGTGGAAAACTGATTGCCGGACTGACCGATGGACAGACGGACAGACAGACGGACAGACGGACAGACAGACGGACAGAGTGCAAACCTAAAGTCCCCTTCGACTTCGTCAGTAGGGGACTAATAAGTAAAGACCCTTTAATCATGCATTATTTGTGTTGTATTATCAGTTTTGGTCCAATCTTTTCATAATTTATTACAGTATTCAGCATATTTAACTTTGGCTGTTAAATAGTTGTGTCTAGGGATTCTATATAAACATTAGCACTTTTTGGTTACAGAACATTGGATCAAGGGTTCGTGGCCAAGGTTATCCTATGGCTTTTTCGGAATCAGCTGAGTAGTAAATCTCTCAGAATTTTTTTAAACCTGTACCAATACTTACAACACCAAGCGTAAAATAATTAAAGAAATAATCGGAACATTGAGATCGTATCCGCTTGTGAACATAAGGGGAATGAATCTTCATTTTATCTTCTGCTTTATAGTACACTTTTCCAGGACAACCTAAGGCACTAATAACATCCTATAAAGAAAATGAAATCATGTAAATATATAAATATATTGTATTTATTAAGATAAAAAATGTGAAGAAAGTCATAAACTGATATGTGTATTTTCAGGTAATATAAAAATCCTAATTAATCTTAAACAAGCTTATTTTTTTCCTTTTTGATTTACACGTAAATATTTTGTGAACATGACTTAACCCATACTTTTACCTATTTAAGCAGTTTTGTATTACAACAGAAAAACAGAAAGATTTTTACTATTTTGTTGCAAGTGTTTAATTCTATCTTATTCTTTTAAGAGCAATTTAAAAAAATAAATGGGGAATGTGTCCATGGACACAGATGATGCCCCCACTTGCATATAACGTTATAAAGAGACATAACTCAAGAACTGTAAAAGTGAGGCTACCCAAATTTGTACTTGATCTGAGTTTTGTGGTAATAAGAATTGTGTATAAGTTTCATAACATTTGGTTGACAAGTTAGAGAACGGAAACGAAACTTTCAGCAATTTTTCCATTTGTAAAGGGGCATAACTCTAGAACGGTAAAAGTGAGGCCACCAAAATTCAAACTAGATCTGTGTTTTGTGGTAATAAGCATTGTGTATAAGTTTCATAACATTTGGTTGAGGCAGAGTAAAGTTAAAGAATGGAAACAAATTTTGGGACGTACGTACGGACAGACGGACAGATGGACAAGGGTAAAACTTAATGCCCCTCTGCTACGGCAGGGGCATAAAAAATGTTGTATGAAAGTAAAATTGCTCTGATGGAACTTAAATAGGTGAATCAGTTACAAGAAGCAAACAGTTTTATCTGTGTGTTATTTTTTTCTATACATGCACAAAATATACCTAGGTATATGCCATATGTTAAGGATCTGACTGGGGGTTTACAGAAAAGAGAATAATGAACCCAAAAAAATAAGAATAGATAAAACTGGGCCAATAAAATAGAGAATACATAATAATATAGTGCTAAAATATAAAGAATAGAGAATTTTATACAAACACAATAAAGACTAGAGAATAGTAGGCAAAAAAAATATGGGATAGAGAATACTAGGCAAATAAAATAAAGAATAGAGAAATAAACTTGTAAGAGTACAGAAACAACCCCTTATATTGAGACCCTCATATGTTCAAATAGCTCTTGACAAAAATTGAAATTGAAATTTAAATTGCCAGTTGCAAAGCAATTAGTTAACACTTCTATGAGTTTGTGTGAAGTACTTTTGAGATTTTTCAAACATCATTATACTTATTTGAGTTAATACAATTTCCACAGCATTATCATCTTTTTAATTGTATACTTTGCAGATATCTAAAAAATAACTCTAGAACGGTTAAAGTGATGCCACCAAAATTCAAACTTGATCTGTGTTTTTGGTAACAAGCATTGTGTATAAGTTTCATAACATTTGGTTGAGGCAAACTAAAGTTAGAGAACGGAAACCAACTTTGGGACATATGTACAGACGAACGTACGTACAGACGTACCTACTGACATACAGACGGACAAGGGTAAAACTTAATGCCCCCATCTGCTACGGCGAGGGCATAAAAAAAGGTGCACCATAAATACTACTTTCTTAGTAGCATTATTTGATGCTACATAAGCTTTACAAATTATTACCTGACTGGAATCACCAAACTGTACTATTCTTTCTACAATCTTTTTTCTTGGGTCTATTAATTTACCAGGACCATTTCCTGAAATAAAATATTGTTCTATTGACTTAATCTTATCTACACATTGTTATGCTAAGTACACATACTACAATTCATTCAGCTGTTGACCAAATTTGAAGCCAATCTGTTCAGTTGTATTGAAGAAATGGGTGACTAAATTTTTAAGTTAGTACAACAAATTAAAAAATTTAAAGTATTAGCAAAAAGGAAGTAGGTATCTGACTGATAAGAAAAGACTTCAAGTGCAAACACACAACTACTCATCCCTATTAAGCTGCTGACCACATATGAACATGTTCAGTTGTTTCTGAGAAAAAGTCTGACAAAAAATATTTGTTGGACGGAGAGACCAATGGACAAACATATGAATAGATTGATGGACAAACTGATTGCAATATAGCCTCCACTCCTAAAATAGAGTTTCATAAAAAAAAAAAAAACCACTCGATTTATCTATATAATGTAAATAAAAATCAATATTTTTCTCTACATATTAGTCAACTACATTTTTAGGACTCTTTATTCTTTTTAACCTCATTAATCAGCCCAAAACTCCAACATTAATGAAATTTACATTAAGGTTTCAATTCTTGTAAATATTGATGTTAAGCATTGTGAGTTTTTAGTCCAATCTAGGTCTATAAAAACAAGTATGTACAGTACACCATCTCTAAAGTTGGTACTTATTAAATTTGCAATTATGGTGATAAATAAATCTATTGAACTATTTCCAAGATTTATGTAAGAGTTTTTATTATCAAACATGACATACACATGTATTCCCTAAACACAGAGGCAAATCTTTGATTGATTGATTGTTGATGTTTAACACAATATCCAGTACTCTTGGCTATATCCTGGCGGTTACTTTTTATTGGTGGAGAAAGCCAGAGTTCTTAAAGAGAACCACAGATTTTCGGCAGGAAAACTGGCAATCCTAGTCAATTAAGATTGTAGTCAAACACACCTGCCATGTGCGGAGTTTGAACTCACAACCTCAGTGTTGACAGGCTAGTGATTTCTGTAGATCAACCACTTAGACTATTTAGCCACCGACACACCCAGGACATCTTTGATAGTTCTTTGTTTATTCACTACTTACTGTGGATTCATTATTATTCGTGGAATACCAATTTTTGTGGATTTTGTGGGAATAGGTTAAACACAAATTTGAATGTTCAATGAAGTACACATTTTCTAAAGGCTTGTATACAGATTTTGGCAAATCCATGAAATCAAATATCCCAGAAAGAATGTTTTCCTCAATCCACTAAAATTGGTATCCATGAAAATAAAATAAATCCACAGTATCTAAATTTATTGTGATTTAGAGCTTGACACATAGTTTAAGCATTGTTTATTGCTAAAGATCATATGTAGACTGTTACTGAACCTCTAGCTTCCTTTTGGATTTTTTTGTTATCAGGTTGCTGCCTCATTGACATATACCTAAGTTCCCTTTTATTCCTAATATGAATAACACATCTGCTGTAGATCTATAAGACAAAAGCAAATACTATACAAACCTTCAGTTACTAACAAGAACTTTAATCCTTTTGTCACATTTCTTTCCCTCAATACTTCTAAACAATCTAAATAACAATTACCATGGAAACAAAGAATGGGCAGTGGAGGTGCTCTGAAATAAAAAGAATCAAGCAATTAGCAATAAGGATGTTTTAAGTTGTTTATTCCCTAATAAACTATATGTTCCTGCAAGACAACCTTGTCTGCAATTTTCATTCTTTAGGTTATTAGTTTTCACAGAATGACTTTCTGTCTTTAATACATACTTTATTTTACATTATGTTCTTATAAGATGTCCAATAGCATTTCTATCACAATACTCCATAAGTGATAACTTTCCATGTATTGGTGAAAATCTTTCAATATCTTATCAAAATTTTGCAATAACATAAATGGTACGAATTTTTCTGCACCAGATGCGCATTTCGACAATCAATGTCTCTTCAGTGATGCTCAAGGCCAAAATGTTTGAAAATCCAAAGCTTATTAAAAAGATGGAAGAGCTATAGACCAAAAAGGACCAAAAAGTAAGCCAAAGTCAGGCAAGGAATCAGAGCTTTGCATGAGGGAGATACATTCCTTAATTTAAAATAATAACCAAAATTTTGCTACTTTCCTCTAAAGATTGATAATACTGATAGGAAGATAAAATATTTTACTTTGTACAAAAAAATCTCATTTTCCACATCCCCTTTTTCATCATTTTTGTCGAGCCTTCGACTTTAGTCGAAAAAGCGAGACATAGCGATCCTACATTCGGTCAGCGTCGTCAGCGGCGTCCACAAATATTCACTCTGTGGTTAAAGTTTTTGAAATTTTAGTAACTTTCTTAAACTATCCTGGATTTCTACCAAACTTGGACAGAAGCTTGTTTATGATCAAAAGCTAGTATCTAGAAGGAAATTTTGTTAAAATTTTGTACCTGTTTATCCGTATTTTACTGATAAATGGACTAAGTTTTTCTTCCAGTTATCATTAAATACAGTCTGCAGTTAAAGTTTTTAAAACATTTATAAGATTCATAAACTATCCTTGATTTATACCAAACTTTGACAGAAGCTTCTTACAATCAAAAGATAGTATCTAAAGGAATATTTTTATTGATTTTTTTCCTCATTTTTGTTGAGCCTGCGATTAACAGCAAAAGTAGGCGAGACACTGGGTTCCATGGAACCCTTACGAATTTTAACTATAAGTACTGTAGTTGTTTGTCTTTTAACAAAATCAACTAATTGTCAAAATATGGTTTGTTTACACAACATAAAATGCTAAATGCCAGATTCCTTATGTTATTTTTTGCTTATTTTTTCATTTGTAAGTTTATTGTAAGGACTGTTTAAATATATTTATAATTCATCTGCAAAAATAACAATTAAAACAACATAAATGGGTTCCAACTAAAAATTTATGTCAGAGGAAGATTTCCTATTTTGAAGTTTGACATCTTTGCAGATTGCTACTGATGATAAGATGAAGTAAATAGATTGGATGCTACACTGAAAAACAGTGCAATTTGATTGTATTTTTCAATGATAATATATAAACATGTTCTCAAGGTTTTTCTTTATCAAAATTAAAATATATATATCTATTCATATATAGAAAAGCTCCATAATGTAATCTAGTTTGCATTCCTATATATGAAGTATAACACAATTTGTTTTATTTCCACAACAACAACAAAATCCTAACCACATTTTCTGTCTGTTGTCTAAACATGAAAATACAGGTAAAACTAACATTTAACAGCAAAGGCTTTTTTCAATACGTCAAAAAAACTAACTTACTTTGTATCAACTAAACTACTTCCTGTATATATACACATCCTAGATACAACTGGGGAGGAACCATTTGGAAACTGTAATGATCCTAAACCATGGGCATATTTAGGCTGAAAAAAAAAATTATGCTGCTTTCATTGTAAACATATTTACATGAAGACATAGAGGTAGATACTTTTTTTATTATCCACATTGATAAACTTCTGGACAAAAATTACAACAAAATTAATTCCCTCAAAATAATGTCAAGGAACAATGAAGAAGAACAACTTACAATTATGATGTAACAAATTTTACTGAAGTTTAATGGGAATATGCATTATGTTGTAGAATAGAAGTGCAAAATTACAAAAAATGTGGTAGAATTTTTCTACACAACAGTTGTCGTGCTAAGCATACCCCTTCTTGTAACTTATAATATTGGAAAACTGGAAGTTAGTATCTTACAAATCTGAAAAGTGCTTACACTGAATAACCCTTCCCAGACAAAAATTCTGATATTTATAAACCACATGTTGATTAAAATTGTCATTTGTGATTTCCTGTGAAATCTATAGATCATAATTAAGTTTTTCATATCATCATAATAGAAATAGATCATTTATATACTACTCCCAATAATTAAAACAGTAGGTTTGATTAGGCCACAATATGAAGCCTCTTTCTATCTTAAATTTCAAATTGGGATTTAAAGGTCATTATGACCTTTGAATCAAAATTAAAACAATGAGTAAATGGAAGATATATTTTTTTTTTGTATATGAATCAATATCTCAGTGTTCTTGAAATGACATCAAAATTGGCATGAATTTCAATTTTCCAACAAAATCTCTGTCTCAATGAGGTTTTAACCCAGACCTTCTCAATCCAAAAAACATCAAGCAATTAAATATAAACAATCAAACTGATTTTCTTGCTAGTTTTGCAAAAGAGAGATAACATTATATTTTTCTTATGCAACATTTATAAAAACAAAGAAAGAAAAGAAAATTGAACATACTTAAATGCAAACTTACCTCAAACTTGGATTCTATTGGGAAATCAAAAGATAATCCTCTAAAATTCAAGACAAATAATTGCTTCTCAGAATTGTAAACTGTGAAAAGAAAACATTACATAAATTTTTGAGTTTGAGTTATCTTTCTTTATCCATGATATTCAATTTGCATTTATCGGTAACTGATTCAATATTTAAAATAGAAAAATAAGCTAGAATTATAATCTAAAAATATGTACAATGCACATTTTGTGTCTAAGAAAAAATAGGCTGCAATTGGAAGTTCAAAGGTTTACAATATTTTTTCAAAACTTTCAATATTTTGTTTTTTTGGGAATAGGTGATTTGATAACATAAAAAAAACAAGGTTCAACAAATAATGGATTGAGGGTAGAATAAGGTCATGAAAAATTCTTAGCACAAAATTTCAGTCAAAGTATATCCCCACTTGTTATTTGACATTAGCCAACAAATTCCATGCTCGGTGTAAAAAACAAAAAAAGTATTGTCAAACAGGAAGTGACTGCCTGGCAGATCTAAAAATCGCTTACACAGTACAACTAATCATCATAAAGATCAAAACCAATTATCATATGATTCCTTATTACAGTAGCTGGGGAGAAATATGCGACAAAAAAATATTCTATCAGTACATCTACTTCATTTGAACTTTAGTGGATAGTTGTCTCATTGAATAGGCAATAATACCACATGACCTTATTCTTTTATTATATAAACTCAAAGTATTGTCAAAAAGAAATCTGATATTCGCTAACAAAGTACTACTCATCATAATAAAGTTCCAGACCAAATATCACATATTACAGAAGCTGTGTAACATGAATCAAAAGTTACGGACAGGTGGACTGAGAGACAGACAGACAAGTTGATGCAATAAACCACCCACTCTTTGAGTTGGGATATAATATCAAAATTGAATTAACACCAAATTTTCATTTCAAACCAGAAAAGAATTTATTCAGTTAAATTGGTAATATAAAAGAAGAAGAGAAATGGCTACATAAAAAAATGTATCCTGGTCAAACCTCCTCCTCTTGTTAGTAAGGCCAGGTTTAATACAAACCACTCTTCAGCTCTGTAAAGGACTGAATTACATGTGCATGTTTTATAAATAATGAATATATCAATCAGATGGCAAATTAACTATTGATTCGTTATGTAAATAAGTAAAGTTTAATTATGATTGCTTTTTTTTTTAACTGAAAATTCCATTTTTCATTAACTTTTAAATAGTTTTCATATAGAAATATTTCCCGCCTATGTGTGTAAGAAATGATGCAATCCAAAAGGCATAGTTTTAACATCCACTAAATGAATACACATCATTGTATCCCGCCTGGCTGTACTGTTGAACTGTGAGCCATGATCCCAGGCTACTATCAATGTACCACCATCTTCAGTTGCAATTGTCAAAGGGGAGAAAAAAAGTGCCTATTGATAGTCAACTATTTCAAGATATTCTTTTACTTTATTTAAGGTACCAATATTATTCCTTTTATTATTCCCTCATCTTTTAGCAAAGTACTTGTCAATAATTGCAAAATAAACTGCATTATTTACATAATTTCTAGTTAACAAAGAACTTGTTCACTATGTTAACTGATTAATAATATTCTAGCTATAATGACACTCTTTAGGGGTCAAATCAATATGAAGATAGGAGTAAAAAAACAGTTGTTCATGGGCTATTAAAAAAAACTTAGTGCTCATAAGAATTTGTAAAATAAAACTTGCATGTTCTTCAACATGAAAATTCTTAATAAACAAATGTACGGGTAGCTTACGGTCTTTGCAATTCTAAAAGTCATTAGACAAGAGACAATTCATAAATTTATTGAACGGAACCTTCTGTCCTCCAGCACTATAATCTCGATCAATGACTTTTGATGAATACAATTAACCATCAATATTGTCTACATAAAGAAACAATATTCTTTTTATGTTTTCAAATGATTCTTTCTTTGGAAACAAACGTCTAATATGAATGAATGGTTACCGACTCACCGTCATATCAATAACATAGTATGAATCTTCCAGGCAAGATTACCCAAAATACCCAACATCTAACATGAATAAAATAAAACTATTGAGTAAACAAACTAATGCCTTAAAGATGAATGCAGGTTCATCAACAAACCAAAGATTGCTATTTACTGTACAATTTCTTAAATTGTGAATTGGCTCTCAGAATAAATGTCTGCTGCTAAATATACTGTGTATTCATAATTACTTGTTGAATACCAGTTTTTATTGGATATACCGGTAGGTAAAGCAGGAATCTAAATAACAAAGTACAAACTTTTCCATAGGTTGTATGCAAACTTTGGCAAAACCATAAAATCAAACATCCACAAAAAAATACAAGTTTTCCTCAATCCACAAAAAGCCCATTTACAAGCAATATATGGTGGCATGCCCAGAAGCTGCTATAGTAGAAAGTGCTACATTTTCAATTTACAAGAAAAGAAAACAATTTTGTCTATTTTTTGCAAGCATAAAATTCTTTTTGAAATCCTGAACTCCTAAGCATGTTTGTTTTGTGATTATGAAAGGATTCATTCACGCAATAATCTAAATATTTCCTAAAGACCTTCAGAACTCCTATAAAAGGTACATGTACTTTGACAATATTTAAAGCTATGAAAACCTTCAGAACTCCTATAAAAGGTACTTTAGACAATATTATTAAGCTATCAAGACCTTTATAACTCCTATAAAAGGTACTTTTTACTACATATTAAGCTATCAAGACCTTCAGGACTCCTACAAAAAGGTACTTTGACAATATTTAAAGCTATGAAAACCTTCAGAACTCCTATAAAAGGTACTTTTTACTACATATTAAGCTATCAAGACCTTCAGGACTCCTACAAAAAGGTACCTTTTTCAATATTTCAAGCTATGAAGACCTTCAGATCTATAAAAGGTACTTTGACAATATATAAAGTTATCAAGACCTTCAGGACTCCTATAAAAGTTACTTTTACAATATTTCAAGCTAAAAAGGCCAACAGAACTCATATAAAAGGTACTTTGTCAATATTTGAAGGTATTTATGTTTGACAATAATCTCCTACAAAATAAAATAATTTACACCATACCTCCAGGGTGAGTTGCTCCAAAGGACTGGTCTATCTGCTCTATAGTAGGTTGTACTTGTGGGGAGCTGAAGTGGACTCCACTGAAAAAAGAAACATTTTGTTAAGATTAATGGTGTAACAAGAAAAACATCAATGCTTGTTGTGTGAATATATCAATACATAATAAGTGCTTTGCTGAAACACCATGGGTAATCAACTTAATAAGATGAACAATATTTCAGGGACATAAAAATGATGGCAGACCTTTCCAACACCTTTTATTATAGTTCCTTTAAAGGAATTCATAACAATCTTTAAAAATAAATTGCAGTCTGCCGACAAGACCTCTCATAAACTTTGAGGAATCTGCGAGTTTAGAAAATGAATACATAATATCAATAATCTCAATATTAATGAGATTAAAGATGTTTCAATTAAAAGGTACAATGCAATTTTCGAAAGATGATCTTAAACACAATGCTACAGTGAAAAAAGAGTCAATTACAAATATATTCAAATTTAAGATTTTTTTCAAACGGGAGGCTTTAAGGTGTAAAGAATTTAGTTGCTAGAAAGCACCTCACACAATCAAAAATTAGTGCTCATAAATTAGCTACTGAGCACGATTGTGATAAAAAGATTGACAAAGATAAAAGAATTTGATTTTGTTTTTCTTTACATTCAATTGAAGATGAAATTCATTTTCTTATGGAATATCCAGCATTCAAACTACAACAACAAGTTATGTTAGATTCTGCTTAAATAAAATGCTTTCATTCAAAAATCTGGATACAGACAACAGATTTTGGCTTCTTGTGAATATGAAGAAATATGCAACACTGTGGCTTTGATTTGTTAGTAAGAAAACAACTGCTTAAATTAACATCATATTCTCTATGGTTGTAGCCTGTTGTCTATTTCTCCCATGAAGAGAAATATTTCTCGTATCATACTGCTAGGAGTGTGATACGAAAAAATGAGTATAATTTGATTGGCTTATCCAGCATCATGAGATGATATTGTAACATTTCCATTGGCTATTGGTCAGGTCATTGATGAATTTCAAATGTTAAGAAGATAAACATTTCACTCATGGCAACAGATATATGTGATTTTTTTCAATAATATACAAAACACTCATATTTTCATCTGAAAATCTTATTTTTATCACAATTCTATTACATTCTGAAGTGTATAAACAATTTATAAAATGTCTAATGTTTAAGTTTAATGCTGTTCCTACTAGTATGCCAGTGCAAAAGACTATTCAACGATTCACAGAATTTTTGATTTTACACAATGATAACATTGACCATAAGAGAAATAGGTTTAACAACTTGTGAGAATTGGATATTGTTTGATATCAACTCTCGTTATTTAATTTAAATAGTAATAATAAACTCACACAAGGCTCGTTCATTATTATATTGAAATTAAATAAATAGAGTTGATATCAAGCGATATTCCATTCTCACTCGATAAGAAACCTATAGTTATCATTATTATTCTCATTATTGTTTTTTAACTTATGGATATTTCATCTCATTATATGTAACATGCCCTTTATGGCCCAATGATCGATTTACTAATACTAAAGTATTCTTATTTGTATTGTGTAACCAAGAACCTTCAAAAAAGTTATATCTAAAACAAGAGGCTGTCAAAACGACAGTAAGCCTGATTTTTAAAAGGTTTTCATATTTATTACGACTGGTTAAGCAATAAGGTGAGAACCTATCAAACAATGCATTTTAAAGAATTGGCAAAACCATTCATAAGTTATTGCACGGATACAACTAGAGCCACTATCCAAACCGCTCGACCGTCCACCTGCATTTAACCAAAAATCATATCCACTTTCTGTGGATAAACCTGGTTAAATATTTCAACTTGCAAGCTCTTTTATACAGGTCACTTTAGAAAATGTATACTCCCGACCCCCATTTTCCCCCTCCCCAAAACCCTAAACATTAGTTATCTTAAATAATTAGTAACTCAATAAAAATAGTTTGCCATCAAAAACAATATAACAGTTATCTTTTGGTTATCTTTGACTTAAAAAAATACATACTTTGTCATGGAGACCCCCTATAATATATTTGAATTTTTTGTTTAAAATGCTTACTTTGTCACCAAGACCCCCTATAACAGTAATCTTTAAAGATTTGTAACTAAGTAAAAATGCAAAGCCTGCCACCAAAACCCTTTAAGGTAAGGGAATCTATGCTGAATCTAACACCTGTCAGACTCTTCAATTTCCGTGACATACAAATAAAAAATATCTATTTCCCAAGAAAGCATTAAAGTTAACAATTCCAACACACTGTAAATTTGTGTATATCATAAAATTTATTTATAGCTTATTTATACACGCAACTTTTGTTTATCTGAATGCCTTCTATTTTATAGTAACAATATAAGGAAATAATCATTGATTAAGCTATATTAATCAAAACAACAGTGCATGTTACTAAATATAGAATATATTTATAGCAAATTCCCTTGGTACTGATCAGCGGGAATCCTTTTTAATGTACTAAAATAATCCTTTTACTTAAGAATAACTATTTTTATCATCGTGTGGGAAATGTCTTTGGCCTTCTTAGCTGTTAAATACCTTTCTTCTTCTGTAAACAAGGGAATACATATATATGTGTTTTATGTTTTACTTGATACATTAAAAAAGACCTTAAACAAGGAGTTATTTGAATCTGGAATCATTTTGAATTCTGGAAAATTGAAAAGTAATGTATGATGAAAACTAACCCAACTAAATAAGGTTAGCCATGCACGCATGGCTAAGGTTAATTTTATTTTCACTGATATTTCAGTATGAACTAACTAACCCCTCTTAGCCATGCATGGCTAACACTCCAAAATTGGGTTAGTTTTCTCATACATTTCTTATCAGTTTTCCAGAATTCAAAATTATTGCAGATTCAAATAATTCCTTGTTCTTACAAAAACATTTGATTGGAGATTTCATGACTATTTATGTTCATGTTTGTATCCTTACAGTTCCTCATAATCAATCATTATTTTTATTAGTTTATTAATAACTTCGATCTTATAAATATTGCCTTTCTAGTCTACAACTTACTGCAATTAAAAATGGTGGGTTTAATTCACATGGCTTTCTATAAATTTTGGTATAGGTTGTACTTGGTAAATAAAGTTGATTCACAAACCATGCATCTTTTTGGGAGATACTTAATATTCATAGATTTTTTGTTTTGTTTACCTACTGTTCTCCATGTTTCATCTCATAGAGACACAACTTGAGAAGTTTACAGTTGGAAAAGCAATCAATTTTAACACTTTATGACATTGTCAAAATTTTAGACCAATCTTATTCAGAAAATGAGTCTGTTCTTAGGTATTTTAGATCCCAATTTTTTTCTTTACATGTTATGATAAATATGAAATAATTGAAGAATGCCACATCAAAGTTTAGAGAGAAAATCAAAAGTTTTTTTTTCTATGTGCATTTCTATAGTAACAAGTAAGTTGTCTAATCTTCTTCTTCAAATTTGAATATCTTACAATTTGGTGACTGTCTACATGCTATGTAAACTTTTATAGAAATTCCAAAAGTAACCAAGTTATATTTTATGCCCAACAGTTATGCTATACTTCTTGAACGTAACAACAATTCAAAATTTCCAATGTTTCTCTTCAAACAGACCAAAATGAGTCAGGAAGCCTAACAAATTTTTAGAAAAAAATTCAAAGGTGGATCATAACTGTATCCAAGTTTGAGCTTTCTAAAAAGCTGTGGACTGCTTAGCTCTATCCTAATTTAAGGTAATATGTGTGCATGTGGTTGTTGATTTAGTATTGGAAATGTGGTATTTTTATGATTGATATAAAATGGATGTCTTATACTTGGAATATCAATTTTTGTATATCTATTAAGATGAACTTTTCTGAAATTTTAAACTGGCTGTTCAGTGTTAAGTTGTCAATGTGTTTTTGTGGAGTGTGGTTTTCCAGTTCTTTTAGCTGGTCATTGACTTGCTATTTTGATTGCTAGTTCTGTATATAATTTATTAAGATATATATGAATGTTTAGGTATGTTGATTAAGAGTAACATGATTTCGAGTGATGAAGACAATAACAATTAAAACCAAGGAGTAAACAAAGACTTGTACAACCAAAAGATATTTACAACCGTTACAATGAATAAGAAACAGCAATAAATATTTAGTTTCAGTGAAAATGATGTTGTTCTACTTTAAGAGTGTGCAATACACCCATGCTTTTAAAATTTTGTTCACTTTACTTGTTGAAAATTAAAACATTAATTTACAAATAGACATGACTCTGGAGGTGTGCCTCTCTGGAGGTGTGCCTATAATGGCAGAAGTTATAAAATACAGATAATGCATTTTTGTAAACATTGTATAGGAACATTGTTTAGCAAAACAAATCGTGCATATTGCAGATTAACAAAGCAAATAAACACGTATTAATAATTGATATTTCAATATTGAATTTCAGTGTGCAATATATGCATAATAAAACGAACATGAATTAATGACATTTGATCGGAACTGAAATACACATAGTTAAAATTTTCCGGCATTTGATGAGGTCTTATTCTAAGACGAGAAAAGTCTGATATTCTTTATCTCATTTTAGCCAATAGCTGTTGCTGTATCTCAGCCGCATCATAAAGCAACCAATCAGAATCTATATGTGATAAGTAATTATTTCAAGATGGCGTGTATATCGACTGAAACTAATAGCTCATCCGTCATGCAAAGCAAATATTCCCCTAAAAGGGCCTCTTCCTTCATATCAGGACTTCAGATATTACTATGCAGTTATTGTTCCTAATCTGTCAAATCTACTAGAAGTAACATTTATTTATAAATATTCTATTTTAGAAATTTTGTATTAATAAATCAATATTCAAAAGACATTTTTATCAATTTTATACTCACTTTGTTGTATTTTCAAAATACTTACAAATATTGCAATAAAATTTAGAATTTGCAGTATTAGTATCAATAATGAGACCTTATTATTTGTGATTTGTGCTATTTTCAATCAATTACTCCTGAGAGTGACAAAAAAGAATAAAATAATCAACGATGTTTTGAACTTTCATGATTTACTTTGTGGTCAACAGATTCAGAAGAATCCAAATCCTTTAGGATATTGCACAATATACATGTACTGTTATTTCATGTAAAATTCATAGGTCAGCATAAAAATAATCTGTATTCATAAAAATATATCTAATTAACATGTAAAATTAGTTTTGATTTACTAATCAATATCAGGATTGAATAATAAGAAAATAAAATCAATCAATTAAGAAATAAATAATAAGTAATAGTTTTGTAAGAGTAAGACTGAAAAATACATGACTACTGTATCCATGCTGGTGACTATCTTCAGCATGAATGAAAATGCAGCACTAATAAAACAAGGAACCACCTCCCGACAGCCTAATCCTGTAACTCATAAAACTTACTTGTTTAGAAACAATTGTGCTGTTCTCAATAAGTCTGACACAATGTCAACAAAAAAAGGCAAAACTACTAAGGAGAAGGGGGCATTAAGGACCGGTTTTGGCCCAAGAAAATAAAATGTTTGACAACTATTTCAAATTGGCACATAATGTTTGGAAATGCATAGAGTCAAGAAATATAAATGAAAAACATACGATTTTTTATCTGATGACATCACAATTACGTCATAATATGTACCGTTTTTATGAAGACAATGTAAAATACAGAATTTATAGAGTTTTCCATCATTATTTGCATTGTGGAAATATCGTGCGCAGCAAAGAAACAACAAACGAATTTAAGAGAAGTTTTATGATATCAATTGACATAATCTGATTATCTATAAAGTTGTTTATTTGGTGCGCACATACTTTTCTAATCTAAATATACTTAAAATTTGATGAAAAACAACGAAAATCAAGAAATATTACAAAATATACAAATTTTGTCTTGGTTTGTAGCCATGGTAACTCGTTAAATGTGATATTTGTTTTTATTTTCTGAATACCTTGTACTTTAGTCTAGTTAGAACAAATTTAAGAAAATGTCTGATAACTTTTAAATTTGTAGTTAAATTTGGGCCAAATAAGTAAGTATTTAAGCTTGTTGCAGTTTTCAGCATTTTTACTTTTTTTATACAAGACATATTGATCAACAATTTATAGTTATATACAAAACATCATATCAAAACAACTACAATGTGTATATAATTGTTAATATTTTATCAAACATAACTTATGCAAAATATTCTTTCAATAAAATTTTATTTGTAGAGACAAAACTAAACTTAAAAGCATTTCCTTGGACTTCTGAAACAGATTTTCACAGTCTGAAGAATATTTACTGTTTTAATATGTTTTTCATTGTCAGTATACCAAAGCCCCTTTAAATCTTACGGATCTTTCGGACAAAGGCCACACGGGTGGAAGTAATAACTCCTAATACATCACTTGAGCAAATTATTTAATATTTTCACAATTCATTATCCAAAACACCCCTGGACAAAGAAACATACATCACACATGCCTTGACCATCTTCCGTAAAATCACAAAAGATATTAGTTTTGTATGAAAATACAACATTGAATAACAAGTTACATGTCCAGTTTAATAGGCCAGCAAGAAGTGGACACTTGTTATCAGGCAGATGTCTTTTGAAGTTTTAAGGACAATTTGTATCTAATTAGCATAAATTGAGAAAGAAGCATGTTCTATCTGACCACTCACTTACAGGTGTCCAGGTGACAAAGTGACCAAAATTCTCATTTGAAATGTTATAATATTAAATGACTTTCATAGAAATTATTTACTACTAGGAATTTACAGCCAGCTTTAGCATTTCAATTGCAAGTGTTTAATGAAAAACAAAAGGCAAACTTATGTCAAATTGAGCAAATTTTTGGTGGGGTTCAGGTTGCTCTGTCTTTAGTTTTCTATGTTGTGTTTTGTGTACTGTTGTTTGTCTTTTGTTCTTTTTCTTTTTTTGGCATGGTTTTGTCAGTTCATTTTTGACTTATGAGTTTGAATGCCCCTTTGGTATCTTTCGCCTCTTTTTTTTGAGCAGGCGACATGAAAACAGAACCAATACATGTAGTACTTAGAGACTCAGTTTAGTTTTTAGTCACAGTGTATTCGTATATTTTCTTTGGTACCAATTTCTTTGAATTGAGGAAAAAATGCTCAATTTCTTGGTTTTAACAAATTCTGCATACTAGCATTAAAACATAGCAAAATTGTGTTAGTTGAATTCTTATATTTGTGGTTTATAACCCTTTAACCCACTGAATCCATGAACAGTAAATGTTTTTATTTAAGACAGATAATACATTATATACTGCAACTGGTCAAATTGACTGTATATTCATATGTGATATACAGTCAATGACTATATATCACCTTGTTTTTGACGTTGGCAATGCGTTTCTGTAGTTTTTTGTCGAGCCTGCGACTTTTGTCGCAGAAAGCTCGATATAGGGATAGTGATCCAGCGGCGGCGGCGGCGTTAGCTAACTTCTTAAAAGCTTTATATTTTAGAAGGTGGAAGACCTGGATGCTTCATACTTTGTATATGGATGCCTCATGTTACAAAGTTTCCGACAGTCACATGTCCAATGTCCTTGACCTCATTTTCATGGTTCAGTGACTACTTGAAAAAAAAGTTAACATTTTTTGTAATGTTATATTCTCTCTTATTATAAGTAGTAGGATAACTATATTTGGTATGTGCGTACCTTGCAAGGTCCTCATGCCCGTCAGACAGTTTTCAGTTGACCTCGACCTCATTTCATGGATCAGTGAACAAGGTTAAGTTTTGGTGGTCAAGTCCATATCTCAGATACTATAAGCAATAGGTCTAGTATATTCAGTGTATGGAAGGACTGTAAGGTGTACATGTCCAACTGGCAGGTGTCATCTGACCTTGACCTCATTTTCATGGTTCAGTGGTTATAGTTAAGTTTTTGTGTTTTGGTCTGTTTTTCTTATACTGTATGCAATAGGTCTACTATATTTGGTGCATGGAATGATTGTAAGGTGTACATGTCTAGCTGGCAGGTGTCATCTTCTGACCTTGACCTCATTTTCATGGTTCAGTGGTCAAAGTTAAGTTTTTGAGTTTTGGTCTTTTTTTCTTATACTATATGCAATAGGTCAACTATATTTGGTGTATGGAAATATTTTATGATCTATATGTCAGTCGCGCAGGTTTTATATGACCTTGACCTCATTTTCACAGTTCATTGCTCAGTGTTAAGTTTTTGTGTTTCAGTCTGTTTTTCTTTAACTATAAGCAATAGGTCAACTATATTTGTTATATGGAAGAATTGTTAACTGTACTTGTCTGCCTGGCATGATTCATCTGACCTTGACCTCATTTTCATGGTTCATTGGTCAATGTTTAGTTTTCTTTGTTAATGTTAAGTTTATGTGACAGTTGTAATAAAGATTTATATTTAGGACTATCAACATAATATCAATGATTAGTAAAGAAGGCGAGACATTTCAGCGTGTGCACTCTTGTTATTTATGACATCAATACAGAATAAAGGTTCACAGAACTTTTACGTTGTTTGCTTCAAATTAAAAAAATTATTGTTTTTACCCCCCAAACATTTCATTTGGAACAGTTGTAAGAGTTGTAGGATATAAAGAATAACCATACATTTGTCTCGAAATATCGATACATTGTACATACCAATATTTTAATTTTACTTTTCCCAAGTTGTTCACTTCAATGACCTGAAAATATAGAAATAAAAGGGATTTATACTAAAAATAATGCAAATATTACAAGCTTCACACACACACACACACACACACACACACTATTAACTTGTCTAAATACACAGAAAATGTTTTGGCATGATACATCCATATTGACTTTCACAGGGAACAAATATTATTTTCCCTTCTGTAACTGCTTTATCTTTTACATTAAAATTCTTAAAACCTCCAAAATACTGATAGGTGTTAGACTTAAAAGACAAAATGTATGTCGAGTAAAGTGTTGTCTTTGTTGTGTTATTGACAGATTTTGTGTTTAAAATTATGTAGTTGGCAGGAAGTAGGCTTAAGGAACTGCATAAGAATTAATGTGTAGAGAAAATTAAATATTTTTTTATTGTGCTGCTTTTGTAGTGAAGATTATTCTCTAAATCAAATGATGGTCTTGTTCATCTTTGCAAGCAGAGGAGGGAGACTGGATCATAACCCTTGGCTAGCAAAGATGTGTCTTGTTCTATATGGAATCTGACTATTTTCTCCAGTTTTGTCATCAGGACATCACAAATTATGTAAATTCACTTTTCTTAGGAATGAAAGGGTGTTCAAACTTCAAAGGTAATCTCCCTTGAAAATATCTTTTGAACCAATCTTTGTATATATATATATATATATATACTAGTAGACAATGTACCAGAAATTGTCTTTTGTAACACATTGTCTTACTTTAATAAATACCAAAGTGCTCTCCTGTTGAGAATTACTGTAGAAGTCTAAGAGACCATGATAACCGGAATTACATAACTATCCCTAATATGTACAACATGTAATTATCACACTCCGTAATTTCCTTATATGGAATACATTTGGTTGGATTCTACCTTTATTACATAATTATCAAATCCTAATAAGGTAGTTTGATATAAGGAGTACCACCTCTCCTTCCAGTAATATTAACTGCGATTCTAATTCCAAATCTAACCAAATACTGATATTGCAAAACAAACACCCCCAAAACTTTACTGATATTAGTCACACATTTAACATAAATATGTAACTACGATTCCATTTTAATAAACAAGTTCTTTAATACTAAAAATATACATTTTATGGAATAAAACTATAAACCACAATAAGAATTAAGTTTTATGTCGATTGTGGATTAAGAAGTGAACAGAGATTAGGAATGAGGTAAATGATGGTATGACATAAGTATAGTTTCTACGTAATTTACCGCTGAATCCCGATGACAATGATTGCAGAAGTTATTGAAAACCATATCAACAATTAAAATTTGTAGGATTGTCAATATAATGACTGAGATTATAAACTCTAGAGAATTCAGGAAAAAAGTAATTATTTCCGTAAAATAAATAAATTCTGAAAGCTATTATCCTTAATAATGTATTAATGATCAAATTATTTGATACCAGAGGCATAATATATTGATTTTTTTAACATAGACAAAAGTATATTATGACGTTAGAAAAGGGTTCTGTAACGAAATCTTGACGAAATATTTCAAAGTAATTCCCTAGTGGCTAGAGACAATGACACAGTCTTTCTATGCATTTAATTCAATGACGGACAACATTGTTTTCCTTGTCGGAGACTGACAGCAAAAATGCTTAAAGGGGTAAAGGATTTCAAAGATTATTTTTCATTTCAAGGTTGTGATACAGGAAGTAAAATCCAAAACATGATGTAAGCAAGGTTTTCTGCTTTAATACAGATGAATATTTGAACAAACAACTTAAAAAACAGAAAATAAACTGAAAGTTTCAGTTTGTATACTTAAATATAAGAAATAAGAAATGAAATATATTTCGGCAATTATAAAGGAAACAAACTTTGCCAAGACATTCAAACCAGTAAAAACACATCCTTTTCAAAAACAACACTTTTTCACTAAACTTCCACATATGTAATACTAAATTGGAGGGTATACTAATGATAGCTATAGAAATAAGTACGAAAAATCAAAATTGGAAATTTTACTTAAATTAAAAATTTCAGGGATATTTAGAAATATTTAAAGATTTTGACCATTTTCTTTTCAAAATTTATACGCTTCTTAAAAGAGTGCACTTAATTAAAAACTCAATATGAAATGCTAATTTTCCATCAAACTTATGGTCATTATTTTTTCATATCCTGAATAAATAGAGTGGCAGGTGGACAGCTGAGAAGTCCATTGTCCTGAGCTGACCACTGGCTAGTTTATGTCCAAATTAACCTTCTACCCCTAAACTGACCATTCTTTAGCCACTTAAAGTGAGCAAAAGTCAACAATATTTCTTCTTTGTATAATAAAAATGTGAAGTTTACTGTTGTGTTTTTTTATCTAAACAACTGGACCTTCATTAACAAGACCAGCGGTCACTTTCATTAAATTTTGGACAAAAAGAAAGGTCATCAGTGAACGTGGTCTTAAATGACCTTAACAGGAGGTCAGTCCAATAAATGCATAAATTGACTCTATCAAACTAATATTTATTTCTTTTTTATACAAATACTAATCTGTTTATTCCATCAATCAATTCCAGCTTCTTTGTTAATCTTTAAAATAAAAAGACCATCCAAATTTCTTTTAAATACATTGAGTTATAATGAAAAATGTTCGTATTAAGCTTTGTTGCTATCTAGTTTTATAAACTTTATTTACAAAATCACAAACATTTCTGAAACATATAGGTGTCAGACCACCAATTCACTCACCCAATTTAGAACGTATGTAAAAGTAGCCCTACTCTGACACAAAATAGTGCTTTTGATGTCATTGTTTACTTAAACTAACCAACAAATTTGCAGAAATGGAACTTTTGGTGAAAGAGAAATAAATTAGACCATTTTGAGCCAAAATTTACTTGTCTATGAGTTTGCACTAAAAATTGAGGATTAATGCGTTCCATATTATACTTATCTAAGATTTCCAGAAAACCAGGGGCTATTTTTAGTAGTACTTGTCTTCGGAAAGGCAGTTCTTTCTTAGAAGGCTTTAAACATGGGTTGAAAATTGGCAAGTAGAAAGGTGATACATGTACAATTCAGGATATACCTGGTTTCTATGAAGTTAAACTTAAGGTAAAATATTAAGAAAGCTGTGAAAATTGCAAAATTTGATTGAAAAGATAGGGATTTTTTGAATTGGTGGTCTGACACCTATAGTAACATTATATATTGGATTCTTTCTCAGTTTACACCCTTTGATTCCAGATGAGGGTGATATAACTTATAGAGGGATAAAGTGTCACACAATTCTTTAATAATCAATTTATTTCATTTTTTTTTCCCTTTAACATTTCCTGGTTTTGAGGCCTGTACCACTTGATTTAATGACAATTAAAAAATTGAAATTAACTAGTTTCTTAATTTTTTAATAACAGCATATGTCAAAAAATGTAATTTCTGCAGATTTTTTTCTCGATAGTATACAGAAACTGTGCCGTAATTTCTATCGGAAGAAATAACAGCAGGACTATTTGTTATTAAATGTTAAATAATGTTATTTAAATTAGTCAAAATTGTTAAGAACCTTATAACCCTCCCATATAATTTGCAAGAGTCGTCCAATATTTGTTTTGAAGCATAATTGCAGGTGCCTTTCATGATCAATAATACAAGAAACTTCAATAAAGAGGATAATTTACTAAAAACTTAAACAATTATCATTAAAATATTATAAAACAGACAGTCACTTTCATTTGATAAATATTTTTTTTCTAAATTGTTTTTGAAAAGTTGGAGATGAAATTTCTATGATAATTTACGGCCAATTACAAGTTCAAAGTAATAATTTATTTCTTTAGCACAAGGACAGCTGCAGTGGGCAAGTGAAACATGATTTAACAAAAAATGTGAAAAATTGTTCAAGTCATCAAGCACTGTTATTTGTAAGGAGTTGTTTAACAGTAATTTATGGAAAACATTTTAAAGAGACTCAAGACAAGAGAATACTGAGGCAATTCATAGAAAATGATACACTGACAATAAATTCTATCTTAAAACTATAAAGAACTACTTAGACATGATTTAGCATATTACACCAAGCAGGTATACTGTAAAATGGGAATTTTTTGAGAGGAGTTTATTTTTCAATGTAAAGATTAAGATAAAATCGCAAAAATACCCCTTTTCATAAATTTGATCCTGAAGGAAGATAAAAATAAAAGAGAAGAAGAATATGAAGCAGGCTAAAATAAATTGAACATTATGTTTACTTGTTCAAGTGTCTGACATTTTTTCCTGTAAAACTATGAATTATTATTCAAAATTATTTGTCTTCCCCTTTTTCTTGTTTCCTTGTCTGTCCTGATTCAATTCTTTTTCAACAAAATTCATAACACTTTAGATAACGGGGAACTTGTTTCAGACTTGTGTCCAAAAGGAAGAAAAATTCTAAGGGCTGAAATAAAATTTTGCAACACAACTATTACTCATTATCTTAAGTCTAGTTTATAATTACAATTATTGTATAGAATTTTGTTATTTTATTGCTTTAAAGAATCAGCATTTTCTGTTAAAAAGATTACAAATTTCTATTATTCAAATAAATAACATAGTTAAAAGAGGTTTATGTATTCAGTTCCAATGAATAATAAAATGCTTGAAGACAAAGTAAATTTGGACATACGAAATAGGTGCATTTTTAATTTGTAACCCAAAAAGTTAAAACAGAAAATTCAGAAATTATTTTTTGCATTAATTATAGCAATTTTTGAAGAAATGAACAATAAACTGCTTCGCTGAGCGCAGCTGGATACGCCCGCAGAGGTCCAACCCTGAACAGTTGGGGCAAAAATGGACACAATATTCAAACTTGATACAGGTCTGAATTTGGATTGTAATTAAATATTTGACATATTACAGGTTTCTGAATAAATGTAGTCAAAGAACTTGAAATTGGTTATATGAATTGAATTTATATTCAATTAAAGATTTCTTGCTGTTGTGCAATACACTGTGCTGTTGCGCAATACTTAGTAAATCTGTTGTCAGACTATAAACAAATAAAGTTC